CAAATCGGAATTTTTTATTTTTTGAATTTATTACACGAAAATCCTGATTGGTGACACATAGTGAAACGGGGAATTATGATTGAAATAAATAGCTGAATAAACAAATGAAAAGGTTTTATATTGATGAATATAATTTTATTTTTAAAGTCATTTTTCACATGGAATCCTAGTTATATAAATAAAAATACAACAAATACATAAAAACAAAAAATAAATAAATTAAATCTACAAATTATTATTATTTGTTATTATCATTATCTGTTATCATTATTATTTGTTATTGATTTATAATTTGTGATTCTTATCCTGTTTGATTATATTATACATTATTCCAGATTTTATAAGGAAATGTCGTAATGATAATCGTAAATCCATTATTGTTAGATTATTTGATAGTAAATTAATTGCCTCAATATAAATTACTGGTGCAAATTTTAGAAACTGTAACAAGAAAGTTTTAGTATTTAGTAAAAGTTATTATTAAAATGGAAAAATTAAAATCAAAAATATATACTCACATCATTGTCTTTTAGATTATTAAAAACATTTAAAATTTCAGTTATTATTGGTGTCCAAGCATTGATATTTCTTTTTTGTGATTCAGGATTAAATGAATTATAATGTTCAAATACTTGTACACAAAATCTAATTAAAAAAATATTTATAAACCATTATATTATTATTAATAATAATTTGTAAAAGATGAACAAATAGTATATACTAACAATATTAATTTTTCTTGAACTTCTGTTCTTTTTTCTTGACGATCTTTTGATATATCAAAATACATTTTTACTAATAGCTTAAAATATGTAGAAGCACTGCTTGTTTCTTGTCTCAATAAATTTGGTAACTGTTTTGTGAACCCTATAAAATAGAGATAATTGGATTAAAAAAAAGTTTTTTTTTGTTTCATTATCATTAACAACTAGAATGCTTACCTATTTTCCATAGAGCAACCCTTAAATCTCTATTATCATTAAATTTTTGTGCAAATAAATATGATTTTTCTAAACATTCACAAATTATCAATAGGTGAATTGCTGGCATTGATTCATACACAATTACGTTGTTCAATAGTTCATCAATAGTATCGATAAGAAGTATTTGCAATAAACAATTTACAATGATTCCATTAAATTCTTGAGTCCTTGGTACAGTTGAACTCGTTATATTAGAAAAATTTTCATAATCATCACTCTCCTCATCATCATCATTGTAATTATGTTCGATCATTGATTTTGTATGCAAATCAACTTCGGAAGGAAACACATTGAAACCAGCCTTATTATCTTCTATACAGTTTTCGATTATGAAAATAATCAAATAAATAATATCTTCATAATGTCAATAATAATAATAATATTTTTTTATAAAAACAATTTACCTGGATATAAATTAATATCACCATTAGTTTTCTCTGAAATTTTATTAGCTGCCTTGATGAAATAATGATCCTCATCAAGCAATTTATATGTTGTAGTATTCTCAAACAAGTTAACAAACATTATGCTAATTTTTTCCCAGTGATCCAGTTGCAATTTTTTCACATTGGCCTCTATTAATTGTTGTAAGCATGAACTGCCAATGCGTGCTAATGTGTCATTATCTTTTTCCCGATTAAAAAATAATAATATATATTAAAAAATTTAACATACATATAATAATAAAAATTAAGAGTTTTTTCATAAAATTAAAAAAAATTTTAATTATTCACCTTGGGTTATACAAGAGCTTAACAAATCCAAGATTCCATCCATCATGATTGCAAGGATATCAAAATAAAATGTAAATAAATCAATCATATTACGAAGTGCTTGTACCATTGTTGTGGACAGCCATACACTCGTATCTTCATGATTTGTTAACTTTGTAATATCCGATTTTGACTTCAGAATTCCAAAAATTGGAAAAAGGATTTGTCGACATATGACATCCCAAAATTCTAAAGAAAACGTTGAACCATATTTCTTAAGAGTATCAAACATTGAATTTAGGGCTCTATTAACAAAAAATCAATATAAATATATCAAGTAACACCATTTTATCTTTCATCCTATAAAACATAACAAAGCAAAACAAACACCTTGTTCTAACTTCTAAATCTTCCCCATTCATTATGATGTCATGAAATCCAAATAATAAAGGATACCAAAATTTAAATAATGGATCATCATTGGTAATTGATTTAACACTAGCTTGACCATTTAATTGGTAATGTGGATCCTCAATCATTTTAGGTATTGATTGACATATGAGTTCGTTTGCTTGAAGACTTTTGTTATAAAGATTTAATACATAACAAATTAATATTGATCGGTTAAACATTTAGATGTTATATATAATATATAGAAATATAAGTAATTTTTTTCTTGTGTTTAAGTATTAAAAAAATTACCTTGTCTTTTGAAATCGTTTATTCTTACAAAATTCACTAAGGCAAACCATAAGATCAGGATATGTACTGTTTGATACAATTTTATCGAAATGGTCTTTGATTACCAATCTAGTCAGATCAAAAGCCATAACCACGATACTCTCTAATTAATATATATTTTTTGAATGAGGAAGGAAATTTATTGTGTTATTGTATTACAGCTTGATAATGATATTTCTAAGTGAAGATCTTCTTTATAGCAAACAGACAGGAAAATAAGATGATAAGTTTAATAAAATTAATTACCGTGAGGTTCTTTTGCAGCAGCTGTAAGAACTCCAAATATAGATTTCCAACCAGATTTGATATTATGAGATCTTGCCTGGATCATTTGTTGAATGCATCTTAATATCTTTATAAAAAAAATAAGAATTAATTTTTATTATCACTGTTTCTTATAAGGAGATGAATGAAGAGAAAACGACAAAGCAACAATAGCACTACCATATCTTTTATTGAAATATTTGAATTGTTTGCTAAAATATAACCAAAAGGTCTTAAGAAATCTTTTTGAAATTTGAAATGTGGTAGTTCATCTTTATGTAAAAATTGCATTGCAAGTTGTCGTAATGAGTCAACAGCAAAAAATCCAATATTAATATTAGGGTGACATCCAACCTATATAAACATTATTTAAATAAATAAATGATGTTCTTTATAATAAATAATAAGGATTATTGGATATATTAATATTGCATGTAATTTAATATTTGAATTTATGAATTACTTGATTAAAATGTTCACCAAGAATGGCCCAAACATTTGACCATTCCATTCTAATACGACCCATATTATAATAGGAAATTTCCACAATCTTTTGTAAACTGAATATACGTGGGTGTTCTGCCATCGACGACGATTGGATTTCTTCCCAAGACACACTACTCAATGAGCTGACAAAATCTACGATAGCAGTCTAATAATAAATATAAGAATAATATTAATGACTATTGTGATAATTGTCATGTTAAATGAACAAAAATTACCCCAGAAAGTTTTGTAGTATTACTAAATATTCTATCAACAGCAACTACTACTTGAGATGATCTACTTTCTAATGCAACATCTTCAGCATACATGATCTAAATAAATTAATAAACGTGTATAAAGATATATAGATAGATGTATATATTAAAAAAAATTTTTTAGTTACTAAAATCTCATGGAATTAACCTGTGTAGAATTCCTTATGGATAATGATTTTTTTGATGAGTTAGAACGATTAAGAGTACTTTCTAAAGAAACTCTATTAAATAAACAAAATTTTTATATTACAAAAAATGTATATAGGTAGAGAAAACTGCTCAACAGCAAAAACATCTTAAAAAATTCATATGTAAAGTTTACCGTGGTTGCTTCCTAGCATTAAACAAATCAGGAACAGTAGTTTGATCCACGCCAGTACTGATCAATTGAAATCTTTCTAATTGACTAACACATGTCAACACATCTCTCCAAGAGCCTTTCAAATAATTTCCTTCAGCTAATGATACCTCAAGTAAAGTTTTTATTGCATCAACATTCTTTGATTTCATTTCACCCAAATTGTTCAAAAAAGTAAATTTTGCTAAAGTAGTTACGAATGCATTTCTTTCAAGTTCCATATCAAAAAGACAAACTATACGAATTGCAAGTTTAAATCCTTCCAACGCAAGATTCGATATTTCCACATCCTCTGTGTTTTGAAGTGGGCCTGATAAACCTGCAAGAACCGGCATCCACGCAACCTCAAACATTGGTTTCACATGTTCAAAATGTGACGCGCTGTAAAATGTGGTATTAGCTGTGTAAATTCCGCGTCTTTGAGCACGAAGCATAGATTTAAATAATTGCTATTTGCAAATAAAAGTGATAATATATATGTGTGTGTTTATTATTATTGAAATAAAATAAGATTATGTGTGTATATATATAATAAATGACTCTGACAAACCTCAGTTTTATTTGCCATTTCTTGTGATGCAGCATTGTACGCTTCTTTTTTATAGTCTCTACCAACATTTACAATTGCGTTGCCTATACTTGCGATTCCAATGCCACTAGAAGGCGTCGGTGAAGTTTGTTGCATTAATGCGGCATCTTGCTCGTCTTTCATTTTTATTTCATTATTTGAAATTTCATCATATATTGAATTAAGAAATTCATCAGGCAAATCTGAATTATCATCGATTCCACGATTATTTTTAATAAATTCAATTTTAGTCATACGACGCTTTATTTGAGGATTATGAAGATCAGTATTTAACATAATAACAGAATATGCAAGAACATATGCTGTATCTATTAAATCCAATGAATATATGTAAATTGCAAGAATTTAATAAAAATTGTTAGTTTATTTTGAGTAATAATGATATTATTACTATTTCGTGAATACATTACCTGCGTTTGCAAATTGTTCAGGATTGCCATCAACATATCGTTCTGCAAATTTTAACATAAATCGATCAATTTTTTGAGCTTCGCCTGGTAATCTAAACGATTGTAAGAATTGTCGAAGAGCATCAACAAATTTCATTTTTTTAAAATTCATTAAATCGACAAATGCGTGCATTATTGCAATATTTTCCTCATCACTGTATAATTAATTAATATTAAATAAATTTGATAAGAATCGTCATCATTAACATTATGGTATTTATTAACTATTATTATTATTATTATTGAAAATTTTACCCTTCGCCCAAATATTCACCAATCATTGACTTGTTAAAACCTTCTGTGTTCAATAAAAATTTTGCAACAACAACTGGTTCATCACTTAGTATAAATCCTGCAGATCTTAGCGATTGAATACCCTAATATATAATAAAATTATTAAAAAAAATATTAATTAATTAATAATAAATAGACAAATAATAGTAAATAATAAAATTACTTACCCTTTTTGGTTTATAATTAAATTTTTTAATACCATCTTGAAGTACTTGCTTACGATGTTTTAAATTTTCAAATTGTTCTGGATCATCCATGGCTTTTGATGAGTTTATCTTGCTATCACCTGAAAAAGTATTTGATGAATTGGATACAGACATCATTGAAGAAGTTGGAGACGATTTATTGTTGAAAGTTAGCGAGGTTGGAGTTGATGGTGGTTCTTGAATGGTGTCTTCGCTTTGTCTTGGTATTTCTTCATCATCGGCACTATCATTAGTTGATTTGTTGCTACACCAGGCAACTAGTGATCGTAAAACTGATACAAGACATTCTAGACCTTGATTTTTTAATGCGAGTTCTGCCGGTTTATTTGAATTGTTTGGCGATGAAGATGTCGTGTTTGAAATTGAATTTGTGGTAAGTGAAGGAGGAATATTGAAAATGTTATTAGATGTTGAAACAGAATCTGGTGTTGATGAATTGACATCTCGGTCTTTGTTAGAATCAGGTATGTTGTTGTTCGAAGATGTAGTGGTAGTGTATGTTGTTGTAATTTTTGATATGATATTTAAAATTCTATATGATTATTTATTAATTAATTTAAAATTTTGCGCAAGTGAGATTTATTTTATTTTATTTTTTACATTACCGTTCATATATATTGTGAACAGCCTCGCGATCGCAATCATAATTTAAATAGATTTCCACAAGTGTTTGTGGATCAGAGCATATTCTAGAAAGAATATTCATTAAAGCATATTTTTGTTTTATAGATGAGTTTCTCATTTCTATAATTGGTAGAAAAATCTCATTAAAAAACACTTCGATCTCTTTCTATTTATGTGAATGTATTTATGTAGGCGTATATTTATGTATGTAAATAATAAATATTAATTAAAAATTGATTTATAATTTACAAAAAAAAAAAAAAGAAAAAAAAAAAGACAATTAAATAATATGTATTGATATTTACTTAAACATATATCAGATATATATATGTATGTATGTCAACGTATAGATAGACATTTACATACCTTTAAATAATTCCTTAATTTACTTATACATTTCCAAAATATTTCAAGGCTTATTTCAAAAACCTGAGGTACAGAACTAACAGCATTTCTACTGAGACTTAGACATAAATATTGTTTAACAGCTTGAATGAATATAGTACTTTCATGTGTAGATGTAGAAATAATATGAACATTTGATGAAGTAAAGATTTGTATGTGCGAACTTAGTATTGTTAGAATTAAGTGCAATGACAATAGCTTTGATCTCATAGAATGTGACTTTAGATCTACTGATGATTCTGGCGGAACTGGTTTCATTGATAATTTGCAAAGTGCACGGAATACTAAAAATGCATCTTTAACGAACAAATCCTCTTGAATATTGTTATTACTGTTGCTGTTACTATTAACATTGTGGTTATCGTTGTTGTTATTATTGGTATCAATATTGTTGTCATCATTATCGTTATTATAATAAGCAACTTGAGAAATTCGGGATTCTTCTTGTGAAGATTTTCTTTTTTTAAAAATTTTTCATTTTGGAAATTTTAATTAATGTAATAACAAAATGATTATTGGGAACAATATATATATGAAATAAAACAAAAACAAATATTTACTAGTAGTCATACAATCAATAGATAAATAGATACATACGATGTTAAATTCTTTTCTAAGATATCAGTAGCATCATTATCATTATCATTGATATTAATAATGGCAGTAGCGGAGGTATCAGTGATGTTTGAAGAAGGATCATCGGTTATTTCTTCTTGGACTACCCTAACAAGATCATCGACAGAATTGTGAGCATTTTTCCATTGGCCAATCTCTGATTCAGTATCTCCTACTACATTCTCAAATTCTACTGCAGTTGGTGTTGACAACGATGATGTTGTTGATATTATTTCGGTAGTGCTTGTAATGACCTTTTGTATTTCATCTCTTGGATCATTTTTATTAGCACTAATAATAATAATATTATTATTATTATTAGCATCATCATCATCACCATCGTTTGCAAGATTATTAGTATCTCTGATAGAAGAACCATTTTCTGTTATTTGCGAATGCTCTATCTGTTCCAATTTTACATGTCCTTCATCGTAATCTTCGTCGTCGTCATCATCACCATCATCATCATCCATATTTATTTTAATATTTAATTCTGGATTACTTGACCTATATTTGGAGTTTACACTATAAGACGATGATGATGAACGATTTTTTTTATTTTCTGAAAATGACAAATCCCCCTTACTACTATTATTACTACTGCTGCTATTATTATTATTACCATGATCATTACTACTAAAACTACCGTTATTGTTATTAATTTGATTATTATTATTTATTTCATATTTATCAATTTTTATACGACCAAAAACTTGATTAACCATTTGGGTTAAAGTACCTTGTGCTACCGTTTGATTAGTAGGATTTTTTGAAAGCAGAAAAATATTGTAAGATGTACGAATTGATTTAAGAAGTGATGAATGATGAACTGGGATGTCTATTGAGGAGACGGCAGCAAGTAAAGCCTTATTATTATTATTTTAAGAAAAATAAATTGATAAATAAGTATTTCTTATTTAATAATGTGATTAAATTGATTAATTGATTAATTGATTAATTGATTAATTAAGAATAATAATTATAAGAACCTTGATTATTTGCAATTGAACTTTATCATCTGTATTTTCACCAACGAAACAATCACATATTGTGTCTATTACAAGATCAATAAGATTTTGTTTTTCTTTGACTTGCCCATTATCACTATTACTACTGCTGCTGTTACTGTTGTTGTTGTTGCTAGAATTAGGATGATTGCTATTATTAATACTATTATTATTATCTTCACCATTTTCAATTGGTGATTCTTCATTATTTGATTCAATTAAATAATTGTATGAAATAAGTTTTCCTATACAATCTAAAGCTATTATCATAATATTTATTACTCTTGTCTGACAAGCAATTTGAAGTGGTTCAAATATTATTACCGCATCACTAAAACAATATATTAAAGTCAATGATTATAATTATAAATATAAATATAATAATTGTTATATTAAATAATATATATACATACCCTTTCTTATCTGATTCTTCATTTTTTATTGTTTCTTGATAAATTATTATAATAACAAAATTTGAATATTTTTGAAAAGCAAAATGTTAAAATCTTTTAATAAAAGTGCGATAAATTTTTTACGCGATCTCGAACTTTTAATTACCCAAAGCCTTATTAATACTCTCTTTTAACTTTTTATTCCTTTTTCCTTCTTTGCTCGAGCCAATATTTTCTAATGCATTAATAATGAAAACTTTACTGGATGACATTTGTTTATTAATATTATTATTTTATTATCAAATTTTTTTTTTACTCATTTTTTTTATATTAATATTAAAAAATTAATCGCTGCGGATTTTTTAATGTTACACGTACACTTGGACAAAAAGTTTGTGTCATAGGCAGAAGTTTGTCTGATTGGTTAATTTTGCTGATCAAATTCAATTGAGTTCGCATATTATTTATATATGGGACATGCTGCAACAAAACCAGACAAAGTGAACATTGGTACTAAGGATTTCAGGGATCAAAATTTAGTCATTTCATAATGTGATTATAATTATTAACAGTTTTGTAATATCCATTTGTTATCTTTAGAACTATCCCTATACAAAAATAATAACATGAAACTCATTTACATCAGGTCTACTATGGAACCCAAGAATTATAGTACTATCAGAAGTATTCTAAAAAAGGAACAAGGTGAAAAAATTGCTCCTTACATTTTTAAATTAGCAGATACCAAATCTTTGCAAACAATTAATTTTCTATTGTGACACTAATTTTTTGAGAATCAATTTATTATTTATTGTCTTCTGAATTAATGTAAGGAAAAGAGGTTTTCTTACAACCAGATTCCTAAATTTCTTTTAATGTCATACTAATAGGGTTTCTATTTGAATAATTCAAATAAAACAAATAAAGCAAATAGTAAAACGAACAAAGTGAATAGTAAAATGAATAAACAAATAAGAATTTGTATTGTGAATAGAAACTCTACACTTTAATATTAATAATGATGACAAAAAAGTAATATAATTTTACAGTTGCCAACATTGTCTATAAGAACAAAAATATAACTCCAGAAATAACTTTATTTAGATAAATTTTAATTTTAGCTCATAAAAAGGATTGCAGATAATTGCAGATATAGAAAATATTTGCAGGCATTGCAGATAATTGCAACATCAAGAGTCGCAGCATTTTAATTGCAGTACCCATATCTAGGCACACCTAACAACTACATTCCCTAGATGGAATAACCATTAAATTTTCTTTCATATAATGCAAAAAACATACCAAACAGATTAATTTGAGAACAAATATTGTATATAAATAAAATAAATGACTAACATTGATCATATATTGTATAAATTTCGGACAATGGTTTTTTCATAACAATAAGGTAATGTTAATCATTAAACTATGAGTGAACACTTTTAAAAAATCAAATCATAATAGATATATCTATTATTTTTTTATATGCATATATAATATTGGAGTAATGGAAATTTAAAGGGAAAAATATGCTGGGGCAAACTTTAATAAAATTTATATATCAATGTTTGGACTTATGAATCTAGGACTTGATCAAACCTGAATTTTATAAACTGACAGCTTGTCACAAAGTCATGTGAGCAGTGGTACAATAAGTTATTTTAGCCAATACATAATATTACTTTTTTATTTCTATTTCTTTATCTGGTTACTAATACACAGTGAATCTCGATTTAACGGATAGTTTGGGCAATTAGGGAAAATTTTCCAAAAATCCGTTAAACCAAGATATCTGCTATATCGAGAAGGTTTTTATTAAGGTTTATTATGAAACCGTTCTTTGAACTTTATCCGTAAAACTGAGATTTTTAATTAGTATCCGCTAAATCGAGATCTGTTAAATCGAGATTCACTGTGTACTTTGGATTTCATTTCCTTATAATGTATCCATTTTTAGTGTTAATGATGTCAATTCAACTCATAAAAGAATGATGTGAAAGAATATAGAATAAAACTAATGATTATAGTTCCTATCATGAAACATTGGATTTATGATTTGTGATTCTTTTCCAATTGGTTTTGGTGGTGAATCTTCCACATTACTTATAATATTTTCAAGTGCTGAAAATTGCTTATTGATGGTTATATTTTTGTGATGTGACTTTTTAAAATTTTCAAGTACTTCAAATCAGGGTTGCAAATTGGCTGGTCCAATGAGAACAGATGGATTTTGGACTGGTCCATCGCCATTAATAAAATACTAAATATGGTTAAAGTGTTACACTAATGGACCCAATGGACCATCAATGGACTGCACATTTGCCAACCCTGCTTCAAATGTATTATCTAAACCAATCTGTGCAAAAATGATAATAAACAAAATGAGATGTATAATACAAAGAAATGAGAATTAAACTTTACTTACTCCCAAATTCCACAAAATTTTCAATGCTGGCACAAGTTTATAATGTTCATCCCAATTGATTGGAAATTGGAAAGTTCCAATAAGAAACATTCTATATACTTTAGAAGCAGGTAAGTCCATGCCCCATACCTGGACATCTAAACCTATAGATAAACAAGATATTTATTTAATAAGTACAAAAATCAAAAAAGCACAAACTGAAAATTTTAACTTACCATGGCAGTGTAAAAACCAGACATGTAGACTAAAGACTAGTGCTGTAAATTATGAGGATGGTAGTAATTGTATTTACGGCATATAAAAAGTGGTTGCAATTACCTTTGCAACCACTTTTGC